TCCTAAAACCTCTCGAATTATCTGCAATATCTTCTTTATAATTCCTCTCTTTCTTTGTGATTTTTCAAGTGAATCCGACAATTTTACAGTGGCTTGGCATCAGGATCTCCCATTCTTCCCCTCATTGTTCTGAACCGTGGCTTAACTCGGTTAAGAGCCCTGACATGATAGCCAACCTGGTGACTCTGAGGAATTAAAAGAAAGGAATGAGGAGAAAGACAGACACATTAGACACACAAAGACTATAGCTACTGAATAAGGTCAGCATGTACCTGACTGACAGGAAACGGTGCACTTTGTGTATGTCTCTGTGGAATTTAATGAAGCATATATGTGTTGTGTTTGCGTGTATATCCCCAGTAGTGATTAATCAGTCATGGTCTGTAATTCCAGATCTTATTCCTCTTTCTTCAGCCGCTTATCTCGCTGATCAAGAAGCGAGCCGGAAAAACTGCAGAGTAAATAAATAAATAAACAAAGCTCTAAACAAACCCAGAGTGCAAGGAGGGTTTCGGAAGATAAGACAGATCAGGCATTATAAAGCACTTATTTGTTTTCTAAGAAAAATAAAAATTTGACTTCAAAGAGTTCAGCGGCTGTCAGAGAGCGTCTGCTCCTGCACACACTGAGCTACACTCAACACCAGCAGAACAAGAACCGTCTGCACATAATTATGCACATGCACATGACGATACTAATAACTAGACCCAGTTCGATTCTGCATCTTCTGTGCTGAAATTTGTGGAATTTAGTGGAAATGGATTTAAACATGGTATTAAAGTGTTAAAAGGAGTACTACACTGTTTTTGGTAGCTGAAAACATTATAAAATTAGGCAAATTATTAAATAAACAAACATGGTTGAACTTTGGGAACACTGGTCTTTCCAATCTTATTGAAATCTGTAGGGATTTCTATAAAGTGTCGTGCAAGCAGAATCCATGTGGGCCTGCTAATGAAACTTGAGAATGTCCATGAACCACATAAAGAAAAAAAAAATAATAATAAATAAATAAAATAATCAGCATTGTTGGTGGGATATAACGTGTGGAGTTTTTGTCAGTTGGTCTTATGGGTACCTGTAAGTCTCTGTGTGCGTATTTAAAAATATCCAACAATATTCCATCCCAAAGATTCCATCCCTGCAACCAAAAAAAAAAAACACACATAAACCCACTGGTCTCCCTGCCTGCCCAAAGAATCATCCCTCCCTGTAGGTAGAAAACACAAACACAAACACACAGCCTGCAAGTGGCATGTCAGCGCATGAAATTCTCTAAAGGGGTTTAAGTATTTACCCTCGCCACTATCACGGTCTGCTAAAATTCAGCTTACCCTGTTCAATAAGGACTTCAAAGGGAATCATAAATACCTTTTGCTCGCAAATTCTACTGTACAGTGTTTTTCTCCTCGCCCCCCTTTTCCTGCTTCTTTTCTTCCCTATATATTATATTATATTACATTTACAGATATTACAGAAATCAGTAGTAAAACAATGCCCCAGCATGCATAGATAAAAAAAAAGAGCCACAGGAAAATACACAGAGGCCCTATGAAAGGCTGGAATATTATTATGATGAAAATGCACAGCAAAGCCATTATATTTATAATGTTTTACAAACTCATCAAATAAGTGAATAGAGATTAATTGCCCCGGTCGACCTTAAAATAATTATCAGAACGAGGCAGCTCTAAACTAGATGAAATTGATACACTTGAATAATTAGATCCTTGGCACTGACCTACTGAAGTCAATAAAGGTTATTAAGGCCAATTGCTGTCTAAACGCATTAGAGACAGAAAGAAGCGCTCCGCACCACATCCAGCATTTCAGCGGCTATACGATAATCCCCTCACTGCATCCGTCTCTCTCTCTCCGCTGCCCTCACACACATACACACCCCCTACCCTCAGACACACTAAACCAGATTGGATTCGCTTAACCTTTCAGTGGCTTTGATCAAATGAGCTCACACTGCAATAACATTTACATTGACCCTCACTCTCACTCTCTCGCTGGGGAGAGAGGTCTTTACCTTCCTGTCTGCCACACACGCGCGCACGCTAGGTCAATAACGTAATCAGATATCAATGGTGACCCCTGCAGTCATGATTGCTCGCTTTCTCTCGCTCGCTTTCTTTCATTGGACGGAGAGGATGAAATTATGAAACGGTCACTGTGTACGAGCTGACACACACAAATAAAGACCAATACAAACACCACCGGAAAGTAACAGAAGATGCATCTAAATGGCTCACTGTATCCATAAACACATAATAGTTTCTATTCAGTCTGAAAATAAATGTTTCAGCATACAATATTTGATGACGGCGTATGTGGCAGAAAGATACGATAGACGCAGTGAGAGAGAGAAAAAAAGCTTTTTGATGTGACGCTCTGAACGACAGAAGTGGAAAAAGTGACAAATTAGACCTAAAACATCAGAATAAACCCACGATACTGTTAACAGACCTGTCTCACTCTCAGCCCTGCAACCACATACAAATGAAAGAAGAGTCTAAAAAAAATGCCTGGATGGTATTTAAAATATTTTGCATATAGCCAACTATCTATTCCTGTGCAAGGATAGACAGACCGAGAGAAGGAGAGAAAGAAAGTGCCACTGTTAAAAGCCTAAATAAATGTCAGTGGTGTGAGGAATACGATAGCTTCTCTGTAGGGACCCGACGTTCACCCAGTGTGTGTGTGTGTGTGTGTGTGTGTGTGAGAGAGAAAGCCACAGAAAGAGGGAGAGAGTTGTTTTATCAGGATGTCATTCAAATGGAGGGGTGAAAATTTGGATCACAACAGCCTGAAGAGCAAGAGAGGGAGACACAAGAAAAGAGAAAGAAGGAAAACGAAAGAGAGAAATCCCCATGGGAGAGGAGCGGTTTTAATAAACAGCAGGAAGAGGGTGAACACACAGAGAAACACGCAGAACAGCCAACCCCGGACCTGCTCGGACTGCGGAAAAATCAAGAAAAGTGCAGGAAGGCCACAGAGACAATTCCCAAGAATCTAGATAAACACATGTCTCTGGTAAATGCCATGACTGTCTGTTGAAATCATACTTACATTAATTTAAATCAGCCATGAAAATATCAGATATTAGGAATTCAAATTAATATTTATTTTCTAAGTGCTTTCACATTCATGAGCTATTTATTTGATCTCTAACAATCCTACAAATTCAATATTTGTTTAACTAATAAAATGCAGACAATGGCTTGATCGGGTTAATGTAAATGCACCCACAATTTAAAAAATATAAATAATAAAAAAGAAGCAAGAATTAATGATGAATTTACAAAAAATGGATAGATGAATGAATACGCCAAAATATTGAAATGTTTCTCCGTCTCCTATCTCTTTTTTATGGTTTATATGGTTAAAACAATATATAATATCATTTCATAAATTAAAAATTATCTTTTTTATTGTATTATTTACTAATACATAATAATAATACTCAGTAATATACTAAAGAAAATAATAATTTACCATTGACAAAAAAAAAAACAAAAAAAACAATGACGCTTGCGTAATATTAACTGAAACAAAACAAAAAATGTTAAGCGTGTTTACAATTTAACACATTATGCATGTCTTAGATGTCTTAATATACAGGTGGATATCAGAGCTCCTAAATTGTGTTTCTTGACAGAGGGAGACTATCTCACAGTGAGACTGTCTCACCCTTTCATACACACACACACACACACACACAGAGCGACTAGCTCAAGAGCTGGTCCTTAGCCACAGCAGCACATTAGATGTGATTACTGCTCAAAAAGCAAAAGAGGCAGCAAGAGGAAGACAGAATATGATGATACAACAGTGCCCCCTACTGAAAGTAACTACAGCTCTGAGAGCAGAGCTGTGTGCTGAACACATACACACACATATGGATCAAACATGTGTCAAACAGACAATACTGATCAGCTGTGATTGTCTAGATTTAAATAACCTCTGAGCATCCTCTCCAGCAGTACAGAGAGCCCGGATGCTGCTCTGCATACTGGGGTCATCTGCGGGCAGAAGGGTTACTATTGGGACAGACAGGAATATTAAAAACTGCAACATTATGAGGTTTAAATCAAATCTAATTTTCTGACCTGCACTGATGTGACGTAGGCAATTCAACCATCTAGAAGTACAAACTATTACAGAAAACAACAAGCTGCACACCTCAGTGGAAAATGCAACCTCATAGGTTTATCTAGCATACCTATAGGTTTTTTTTTTTTTATTACCCAGAAAAGCACATTCACATAAAGGACAAAATTATAGTGTCTTCATGTTTGTGTGACAAATGCATCTGCACTGAGAGACAAAGTCTAATCCTAATCAATGATGCCAATGACGAAGAGCCAAACAATTACACTGCTAGAGGATTAAAAATATTTAAAAAAAAAACTTATATATAAACTATTATATAAAATAGTTTATATATAGTGAAATAGTTAGTATAGTGATATATATATTGAAACAGTTTATATATAGTTATATATAGTGAAATAGTTTATATATAGCTTATGAAAGCATTTATATTATAGTGAACTGTAAGCAGGCCTGCACAGTTGAATAAATAAGCTTTCCATTGATGTATGGCTTGTTAGGATAAGACAATATTTGGCCGAGATACAACTATTTGAAAATCTGGAATCTGAGGGTGCAAAAAAATCAAAATATTGAGAAAATCGCCTTTAAATTTGTCCAAATTAAGTTCTTAGCAATGCATATTACTAATCAAAAATTAAGTTTTAATACATTTACAGTAGGAAATTTACAAAATATCCTCATGGAACATGATCTTTACTTAATATCCTAATGATTTTTGGCATAAAAGAAAAATCTATAATTTTGACCCACAATGTATTTTTGGCTATTGCTACAGATAAACCCCTGCAACTTAAGACTGGTTTTGTGGTCCAGGGCCACATATATATATATATATATAACTGTGCAGGCCTGCTCACAGTTCACTCCATCACTCTCACCATTCGCTCCATTTCCTTCCAGTCTTTCTCCATCTGTTCCATGGGTTTAGTCCACCAGCTGCAGAATCGAGCGTAACGTCGGCCCTGGAACCAGTATTGCCTCAGCCATTCAAACTCCACCTGAAAGGAGCAACACAGGGTCAAGATGTTAAAGCTGCAGGGTTTCATTTCCAAAAATAACTGCAAAATTCATGATTTTTTTTTTTTTAAACAGGTTTCCTAATCGAACTCTTTGTCTTCCATTGTCTGGCCAAACAGATAGTCCTGGCCTAAACTCACACAACTTGTTGATCAAATGATGCTACAAATCTCAAACAAACAATGTTCAAAAAATAGCCATAGTGTTTTCACTTTTCAGGGAAATACATTTAATACAAAACAAAATGTATACATTTTATTTCTTACTTTTTATTGTTATTTTTAACACACATTTTATCTGTTATGCTTATTTTTTTAAATTCCTTTTTAGGTAAAGCACTTTGAATTACCATTTTTATTGTGAAATGCTTTACCGTATAGAAGTAAAACTTGTCTTGGCTAAAAAAAATGAAGGATACATTGATATTAAAATTCTGGCTAATATGATAAGCTGATAATTATTATTATCATAATTATTATAATATATTATTATCATAATTGTCATTGCTGATAAATGATATCTGGTCTATTTTCTTAAATAAGTATTCTATAAAATTTATTTGTCTTTCAATAAAACATTCTTTCCATAGAACATATTTTTTTAAACCATTTTCTGTAAATACAAAAACACTAAAAACGTCTCGGTTACGTATGTAACCCTCGTTCCCTGAAGGAGGGAACGGAGACGTCACGTCGGTGACCGACGAATTGGGATCTCGCTTAGAAAGACCAATCCACTTCGAGTGTAAACTAAACAAGCCAATGCACATTGGCATGCGATGATTGCATCCAGCTGCCACTGATCACAGCGTGAGCATAAAAAGGCAGCAAATGCAACGCATACCAGGTTTTCGCTGAGGAGCCGAGCCGGTGACCCGGCCGCTCAGCAGTGGTACAGCAGCCGTGGCGACGGGACGTGACGTGACGTCTCTGTTCCCTCCTTCAGGGAACGAGGGTTACAAACGTAACCGAGACGTTCCCTTTCAGTCGGTCACTCCGAGTCACGTCGGTGACCGACGAATTGGGATCCCTACCAAAGCGCCATGGATGCTGCCCCTTCCAGTGTCCTGTGCGAGCCGCCTGCGCCCCTTTGTGGTGTAGGCC